TGGCCGTCTGACCTCGGCAAATACACGTTTAATACCGCCGTGAACCGAAGTCTGCCGCTCAGATTCCCGCTGCTTTGCTATGCCCTTAGACTGCTCGCGCCTGCAGGTAAAAACCGCGTTCGTTCAGATGCTGGCTTTGAGGGCTGTGCTTTCAAATAGGAGCGCTGAGATCTACCCCCGTTGTCTCCGAAATGTTTCGTCCAGCAACAATGTATAGGGATCAAATCTACTGTAACGGGCAGTGCTTGAGGATTTCTCAGCTTCCGGCATGATTTACTGGGTGACTTCTTTCTGTTGCAACCAAAGCAACCAATAGCATAAATAAGGTTGGTTGTTTTTTTTTTTTTTTTTTTGGAAAGACTCCCTCCTTGTCGGCTTTGTGGGTGTCCGTATATATGTTGTAATATTTAAGATAGCTCTTTAGAACTTTATTTCTAGTCTTAAAACGTCCCAGCTTTAGGAACTCCACGTGACTCTACTGCGTACAGACACACACAAGTAGGTACATGTACAAGAAAAGAATTAGTACGGATTGCAGGATTTACTGCATAAAACTTCCTTTTTTCTTTTATATGCAAACAATCATAAATTCGATGCTTTAAGAGGAAAAACACGTGCTTGCAGATCATATGATGAATCAGTATTACATAACTGGTAGTCTGTTGGGAACTGAAGAACCCAGAGTTACTATAAGGGTAGAGTTTATGAGAAGCGTATGTGTGCTTTATTTTTAATTGTGTTCTAACATCTGCATATACTCACTTGGAGACACGGTATTTACTGCTGATTAATTCTAACTGTCAGATTATTTAGCTGCAAAGGGCACCAGCTTGCAGGGATCCCAGCAAGGAGGACCAGCAGCAGCAGCCATAACTTCAGGTGAGGCCAAGTCAAGACCAGGGGTAGGAATCTAAGCACACAAATTTACACCTCCTTGCCCAAAGATAGGGGTAGAAGAGAAAGAACTGAACAACGTGAGGGAAAGCAAACAGGCTGTGGAAAACCTCTGATATCTTTTAACTTTGAAACCTAGTCAGGTTCTTGAAGCGTGTGGTTAAGACAGAGGAATGCAAACATCACGGAACAATGAGAAGTCAGCAAAACTATGTTCATTTCCTATTTCTGTTTCAGACTTCCTGTACAACCACCAGCAAGCTGACCAGTCAGGCTTTGTTCAGTTTCCACATCTGTAAAATCAGCTCAAAACATGAAGGAGATTCTGAGTTTTATTTAAAAATAAAATTGTTGCAGTCATCTTTTTTGCAAGGAGAGCCTAGGACCTACGGATATAGCAGAAGAACACAAGTGGCTGTACCCCATGCCAGCCTATCAGGAGGTTTTAAGTGAGAAAAGAAAACTCCCTTCACGCAGTGCAGTGTTTTACTAGTTGAATCACCCTTCATGTTCTCAACAGTCGGGGCCCAGCTGTGTTCCAGACCAAATAATGACAAGAAAAGTCAGATGAGCTAATAGGAGCTGGGAAGGGAGACCAAGACTTGTCCAGATTAACGAAAGGATTCAAACCTATGTCATCTCAGTCTTAATGCAGCATCCCAGTGATATATGCTTATTTAGCAGTTTACATCTGGTGCCTAATCCAAAGTGTAAGCTCATCTCATTGCCCCTCCTTGCATTCCTACGCTAGCTTCGTGCTTTGTGTGACAGCAGTAAGCGTTCAGTGGGTGGGGAACATGAACTTCACAGCTCCGTGCAAGTCTGTTAATGCCAGCGCTAATAGCACTGACAGAAATAAATCCAGCCTCTGCACTGAAGAAAACAGTGGAGCTCTTTACAGGACTTTTCAATCAGTTGGTCAGAGCAGCTCGGGATGTACCTGGTGTTTTCAAAGGAAAAGCTCATCACCAGAGAGGCCTGAACTTCCCCCACTGTGCTTCTGGTAAGCATTAGGCAAGCTAATAGCTATGCAATGAGCAGACATTACCACATAAAAAGAAGTGTCACCGTAAAACTATCCACCTTTAGAATAAGGTTGGCTCCCATCAAGTAAATCGACAGATTCTGAGATCAGAAAGGGCTGTTGTGTTCCTCTCTTGCTTTATTGGCCAGAAATCTCCAGCCAGTAATTCCTGCCTCACGTTGTTCCTTTCGGCAGGGTAAAGAGTATCTCTGAAGAAACGCTAATTCTCATTTAGCGATGGGCGATCCATGGCATCAGTAAAGACAGACAAGGTGCTTTCGTGTATATATAGATTTTAAAAAATGTAATGAATCAGGACAGGAGAAAATAAACATGCGCCAACATATGCCGCACCTTTACATGCATCCACATTGCCCATTCTCAACTAATTTCTACATGGTTTATTGTACAAGAAGCAAAGACTCACTGTCCCTTCACTGTGAGAAGAACACAGTTATTACTACCTCTACAGAGTACTCGAAAGTCATGAGTGCTGAAGTAGAAAGCTTTTTGGCATAGCGTGGGGAAGTTGTAACTTACCAGGAACACCCAAAGACTACGTGCTTCCTCAGTACTCACATACTATGAACCAGCTCAGTGTATTTTATGCTAAGAATAGTAGGATGCTGCTCTGTGCACACCTTGTGAAATGCAGCAGCAATTTGGAATGATGCTCCCATTATACTGTGATTTCATGATTTTTTTCAGTATTTAAAGGAAAGAAATGTCAGTTTGTGCCAACTGCTGAAGAGAAGAGCACAAAAAAGCCTGCATCCAGGGAAAAGAGAAATATACTGCTTGGCTGTTTTTGCAGGAGAAATGACGTTTAGAAAATCTTTCCAAATGTAAACACAATCAGAAAGACAATAAAAACAGATTCTATTACATGTGGAGATGGTCCCATATATAGAGAGCAAATTTACACTTTATGCACCTATTAAAATACAACAAGATTTGAAATTGCTTTTTAAGTAAATGGATATTGCACTTGAGCCCAGCAATCCGACACCAGTCAAAAATGTGGTTATGGGAAGGAGGGGGAGTGCACGTGTGTGTTCTGGAAACCCCAGCTCAAATCCGAACTGGACCTCTTACACAGCTAATGACCTAACTGCTATGATGTTTGCTAGAATAGCAGTTTCCTGTGGAAGAGGCATTCCCGTTAAGGAGAGCCCCACCCAAGGGTGTGATCAGGTAGTAAAAATAATTTAACACCTAGGAGTTTTACTTTTGTGTGTGTGACTGCAAGGCCATTGCAGTCTCACAGTCTTGGTGGCTTCAGGCCATAATAAACTCATGAGCTCCTCTAATTTTTCTAAATATGCACCAGCACCTGGTGAATCAGGCAAGTTTCCTGGGGATTACAGACCACTTCTCTCCAAATCCTCCTCGGTAATCGACAGCTTCCAGAACCTCTGGAAATCTTCCAAAAGCCAGTGTATCTAGGAATCCTGCCAGGACCAGCCTCCACAGCACACAGCTGTAGACCTGACAAAAAGCAAGTGGGAGTAGCCCACTCAGATGCAAAGGTGACAGTTAGCAGCTGCAGCATCTCAGAGGTGTCTTAATGCCCGGCTTGGTGAGCAAAGCACAAGGGTGGGGGTATGGCTTATTTGGGGCGCGCACACCACATATAGGTAATTCCAGTATTTGCTAAGGGCACAAAGTCACCTGTTATTCTTTTAGCTCAGATTTCTTGGCTGTTGCACCTTATTTATTTGCATCTCCAGTTTTCAATCTGCTTAAAAAAACCAAAACAAAACACAAAAACAAAATTCAAGCATTACAATAGTAGCTCTAGAGTCCAATGAGACTTAGAAAAAAAAAACAATCTCAATTTTGTGCTGTCTTTTCACACTTAAGCTTTTAGGATTTACGCTTTCAAGCTGTCAGTCACCCTAGGAGCTGGAGACTACATCTCCCAGTGGCAGCTTTAGAAAAACATTAATCGGCTTGAGATCTATTAACACAGACTCATATTCCTTAGTATTTATTGCTACTGTAATTGCAAGGTCACCTTCAAGGTTGGGAGTGGGGGGAGTGCAGGAAAGCATATGAAGCAACTATCACAGCAAAGAGAGCACTGAATGATCTCCCAAAGGGAGGAAAGGGCTCAAAGGCAAACAAAGAGCAATCCGCAACTATAAATCTCTGAGATGGGGTGGGAATAGAGATTGTCAGTACCTGGGGGGCCAGATCTGCATGTGTAACTGGCCTTTCCAGAACATCAGGTTGGTCATTATGTAAATGGTGGTATCTTCCACTACATCTTAATTAGTGTTCTGTAATTCGCACTAATCATTTCTAGCTGGTAGTAGTTCTAAAAAAACATGAAAGGAAAAAAAAGATTATAAACTTAAGAACTGGTCAAAAGTGGCTACGTTCTGATCAAATGCAGTGTATTAAAGGGCTTGTTGAACTTGAAATAGATTATTGCATTTGAAACTTTTAGTGTTAAAAAGCCTGATATTTCAAGGCAAATTTGCTAAACAAACAAACAAAAAAAGCTTTTTTTGATATACTAAAGTAGTTGCTTAGTTCTTTTTTCACCCCAATGTTAATTCAAAGTGGATTAAAATCTGCATTGCTTATTAAGGAAATGTACCAACTAAAGCCTGTAAATTAGCATTTGAACTTCTGCAATTTTATGCCTTATAGATTAGAATAGATATCTACAGTAACATACAAAGGGAAAAACTATGGTGGCACTGCCCTTCTGCAGTGCCAAGATGCTGATGTGAGAAAACCACAGGAAGCTCCTGAAGGTATGGGTAAGTTTCAAGCAGCAAGAAAAAGACAGTTTTACTTTTGTCAACTTGGTAATAGATTTCTTTAGAAGTGGTAGGCTACAACCATTTGTTAACAGTCCGTTAATTTACTTTGACAATATGTTTCTTAAAAGAAAACCGGTATTCCCTCAAGGATTGCAAATCCACACAGGATGGCCTAAGCCTGCTTTGAAGGTACTGGCAATACCAGCCTGGCTCAAACTGGAGGATTCCCAGAAGCAAAGCACATAGTTCACATCCTGTTGTCAAAGTCAGTTTTGGGAAAACTGCCAGCATCTCTACTACCTACATGGCACAAATCTCTTGCAGTAGGCAACATGTGCTGTCTAATTGAGAGTGAAATGCCCCCTTCTTTTCCTCCTTTCCCTTCATACCCTTCTGTTCTCATCACAGCAAGGAACGTTGGGTTTAACAGATGTAAGGCTGTAGGCACAATATGAACTGACAGCACTATACAAGATAGGCCATCAGTGTTGTGGCTATCTACTGGCTACAGAGCAAGCCTCTTAGAAAATTCTCATCTAGAGCCTACCTGCCTGCTGATTTGACTCTTTGGAAGTAAAAGACAGAAACCCACCCAAGTAGTTTTATTTGAAAGAAACAGAGTTTCTGAAAAGGGATAAATGGAAGCTTTCTGAATAATTTGTCCACAAATGGGAAAATGATAATTAAAAAGACTAATTTAACATAGAGATGATATGAAAATAGTTTGACAGCATTAAAACCAAGATTTTATTTCAGCTTTATTTGGGGCAATTTGAAAAAGAAGAGTCAGTATTATGAGGTGAACAAAGTTTAGCCAAGTGATTTTGATTTGTCAGAGAAATGCAAGCTGAAGTTCTCAAGCTAGTGAGAACTGAGCTGCTTCCAAAGCCATCCTCCTCGGTGGGTTTTATAGAAGGGACAAATGTAATTCCCAGCAGCTCTTCAGGAAGAGAAGAATCATCAGAAGGTTTTCCTAGGCAGCGCTGTAGCTAGTGTGGTGAACCTTTAAACACAATTAAAAGAAAAGCCGTGATTTGGGGGCCAAAACCAGACTGAAATCACGCATGTCTCTTCCCCAGCCTCCCACATTATGGGGTATGAGCAAGATGTATGCCAAAACACAGCCTGCTGAGAGTCTTTGAAACATTCAGTTTGGCTCTTGAAGAAAAGTTTCTCTTCCTCAGCCAGACAACCTAAATCCAGACCTATCCCTATTTTATCTTGTCACTAAAGCCATTTGGAGAGAATACCTTACTTCAGACAAGGTTGACCAAGTTAAGTATAAAAATATAAGGCTGAACAAATGGAACGGAGGAATTCAGAGAAAAGCATGTTAAAATTATGTCTTCTTTTTAATAATTCTTCCCTTCTCTCTGAGAAGAAAATGAGTATTAAAAAAACACAGATGAAGCCTGCAAATGAAATTGCAGAGAGCTGGAAAGCAATTGTTAAGTTGCAACACATGGAGCATGAATAACTCTGCACTAGAAGAAACAGCAGAGCAGGAGTTAGGAGAATGATGCATCTGCAGCAAGTCCTGAGAACGAGAACAGCCACCAAATCCAAGAAAGAACACAGGTAAAAACAACTCTTTTCTCAGAAAGAACTGGCAGCGCTGGCTGGAGCGCTGACAGCATCAAGAACACAGCATGGATAAAGCCATACAACAGATACAAGGCAACAGCCGTATGATATAACTCAACCTGGTTCTGATTCTTCTTTGTTGGAAGAACATAAAGGCTACAGAGCTCACACAGTGTTGACACCCATCAAGAACCAGGCAGGCAAGATGAGGATGTGATGGCTAGCAGTCCTTGTTCTCTGTGCCACCACAAGCAATCCTGCTCTCTGTGAGAAAATGAAATCGGTTTTGTTTAAAATAGAGATCAACTCCTCTTTCTGTATTGTATGCTCTTGCAATGAGTTTTGCTACATTTGTAGTGGCCATACAGTGGAAGGAAGAAAAAAGGCTTAAGTTGTATAAGCAATAATATTATTACAATGAATAGAAGCTACGCAAATCCCAGTATCAGTAAATCTCAAGAGCCACCAAGTTTGCAAAGAGGGGTACTAACCTTTCAGGAGGAAACAGCAGCGATTCCTGACAAAAAGATAGCAAGGTCAGGGAAATTCTCTCAACCAGAGAGAGCAGGCATTTAGGTTGTGTTCCAGTTTGCACAGACGTACAAGATAGACCTGGGTTTGCAAAAGCATGCACATTGCAGGCTCAAGACTTGGCTTCTGTTCAGAAACACAACCACCAAGCAGATTACAGCAGCTGTATGGTCAAGGAGTTGTTGTGATACAAGACAGACTGTCAAAGCTGAAAGTATTATTAGCAGGGAATGAAGTCTGCAAGGTAAGCTAGTCACAAATCAAGGAGTATTAGATAATTAATTGCATCTGATCGCATATTAAGTTATAGCCACCAGAAGTCTGAGATACTCCTTTCAGAGTTCTGTCAGCCACCTAAATCACAAAAGCAAAGTGAACTACCAAAAGCCTGAAATTAAGAAGAGATACTGTGCTTATCCTTTTTCTGATTCTTCCTTACTCTATACGTACACATACTTTTATCTATGCAAAACATCACTATGGAGAACAAAACAGTTTTCGTCTCTGACATAGAAGGCTTCTTTCATGAACACAGCTGAAGCCGAGACCGACTAGATGAGTCACTGCATACACCCTCTGCCCCCAACCTGATGTAAAGTGCAGAGCGTGCCAAATGAATTGCTATGTGCAAGCTGGAAGATAGGATGGCTCCTGAACTTCTATGATACAGGAGAAATTGTAAGTTTCTTCTGTGGTAGACTCATGGCTGGAAGCATACAAGTCAGTAGCCTACATCACAAAACGCCTTAGGCTGTCTCACTTCAACCCCAATCTTATAGAGCACAATAATTTGCTCTCTGCATTCACAAATTAGGTTTACAAGAACTAACTCTCTTCCATACGCAGATTAACATATTTTTGAACACATGCCTGTGAGAAGTAGGACTTCAGTTCTCCTCTTAACCCTCCAGCCTGCACTCAGGATGCTGATGTTCAATTACATAGACAGCAAAAATCGCTATAATCAAAGTTATTTGATAAACATTTTTTCTACAGAGTCTATTAGATCTTAGTAGGAAATTTAAGTTTAATTTTCAATTCCCAGCAACAAATACACAGCACAGTAGGGTATTTGGTGTCTAGTAACTGTTCTCCCTCAAAAGGCCAATATACTTCACATTGGCTCAAGGTAGAAGGCAAATGAAGTATCACACAGGAGCAATAAGATCGTTACTCTTCCTCTGCAAGTCTCACTCTTCAGCCAAGACACTTGCCACGTTAGAAAACGGAACACAAAGTAGCTCACAGGCAGGAAATGACAATAGCTCACCAGGTGCCCCTGAGATCCACCGCACAACAGGGGTGGGCATGCAGTTAAACTGCATCAACAGCACCTACTGGCTTGTTTCTTTCCACTGCTGAAGTCTGGTTACCCAGCAGCCACTTTGCAGCGCAGCCAGCTTGGAAATCAGGCAAGAGAGCTGAGCCCAGCATCTGCACTATGAAATGCTCAACAGCCACAGGTTGACAGGGGGGCTGGTATAGTTTTCCCAGCTGATTCTCCCTCCATCCCTTATTGCAATCTTGAGGCTGTGAAGAAAACAGTATTTGTATGCTCTCAGATCACTTCTCCTGGAAGCCTGAAAAAAAACTTCACATTCAAACTATGTATTAAGACGTCTGCTGAGAGAGCATGTGCAAACTTGTTTGTTATTACACTGGCATGTTAACTGGAACAGAAAAGCATCCTGCCCTTCCTTTATAAGGATACGGTTTTTCCAACACCTATTATAGGCTGGCAGATGCTTGTGTGTACACTTAAGCTCCAGGTGAGAAGGCTGTATTTGCAGGTTTCCTCCTTAGGGTGGACATCTATACAGGTTAGCATGTCATTCAGTGTAAAGGCTCTGCTAAGTTAGTCTGTGTAAAATCTGTAGCCAGCAAGCAGTTTTGTCAGTTACTACCTCCAAGCATGAGTTTAAGTAATGAGACAGCAAATCAGAGAAAGGAATCTTGTTCTTTTCTTTAAAAACACTTTTATTCAAAAAACAAATAGGATTAATTAAATCTCAGATTCAGTAATGAAGTACTGAATTCACATTTTACACGTGAA